ATGACCTCATGGGGTATAGGCAGAAGAAGCCTCTTCAGCCCCCAACCCTTTTACCCCAGCCTGCACCATGTACCTGGCTGGGAAAGGGGCAAAGAAGCTATGGCAGCATACCCACAGGAGTGGTCTTGTCCTTCATGCTTGACTTTTCTGCTTGTGGTCAGGACACATGCCTTGCCTGGTGGAGGAAGGGTTCCACCACTGCTGTCTATCCCAAATGTGGGTGGGTGTATCTGAGGCTTTGGAAACAGGGAGGGTATCTCGGATGAGAGCTGACCTAAAGGCACTTTTTAATTTTTTTTACAAATTAGCTTTAAAAGTATAAACGTGATATAAGCTGAATATAAAAAAAGTTCAAATGATGGAAGAACTTGCAAAGTAATATGGGAAGACCTTTCTCACCCACAGTTGTGGAGGGATAGCTGTATGAGTACTTGGATGGGTTACATAGAGTTCTTACCACAGAGGGATCTTTTCCTAAAACTTCTGAGCACATCCCTTAAGTCATTTTGACTCACTCTGAGGTAGAGGGTTGAATTTATTAACAAAATCACCAAGTGAGGATAAAATGACGGCTGCAGTACGTGCTATGAAGGAGAAGTGTCCAGGGGACTGCTTTGGGGGACAGGCAGGCAGTTATTCCTGAGGGTGACACAAATAAGCCGAGTCCCAAAGCTGGAATGCACGTTGATCAGAGTTTCACATGCTTTACATAAAGAGTTTCTTGCCCCACATGACAGCAAGTTCTGCAGAAGCCGCATTTGTGTATGTGTGTGGGAGGAGTTGTTTCACTAAAATTTTATGGAGAATTCCAAACCTACAATGAGCCCTCAACTACTCATCGATTATTAACTCATGACTAATCTCTTCAGTTATAAACTCTTCACCCCTTCTTCCCCATCTGAATTATGACAGAAAAGTGTACAAGTCATACTTGTGTAGCTTGACGAATTTTCACAAACATGTTAAGTATCATTTTAAGTGTCTGCAGCTCTGCCAAGTAATGTCTTAGCAGTCATGAGATGCCTCAGACGCTGGATTGCACATATCCATTCAGGGTGCTGAGGACAGGGCTGGAACGTGGCTGGGCCACTGCAGGACCTCTAAGTCCAGAAGGACCAAGAAGATTTTAGTGGGTCATTCCAGCTTTAACACTTAAGCATCAAGGACTTTGAGCAAGTCATGAATTCCAAGTCTGTTTTCTTGTCTTTTAAATGAGAATTCAAAAAAACAAGGTCTTTCCAGGTGTGAGGAAACATTCCAGATAATAAATTACAAACATTTATTACATATATAATATAAACATGTTATATAAATATATTTGTTATTTTTATGTAACCATTGATAACAAAACGTAACAATTTGTACACCCAGCACTGGAGTGACTGCTTTACATATATATATTTGAACCTGTGCCCAGCATCCCGTTTGGCGCTTAGTTGTAATTTTCGTTCCAATATGGCTTTACCGTGCTCATTTTGGAGCTGAAGGCCAGAGATGTTAGAAACAGCCCCTGTTGGCACAGCACCCCGGCGGGAGAGCCGCGATGCCAGCGGTGCCCTTCGCTGTAAACCCAGCTCCCTCTGGCGGGCCTCCCGGTCACAGACCCAACCCCCACCCGGCAGCCCTTGAGCCTCGGGTCTTTCCGTAGCGCATAGCTCCGCCCCTTCGAACTCTACAGGTTATTTTTAACCAATCACCGCAGGCTTGAAATAACGAAAGGCGGGAGCAGGGCGGGGCTCTCATGAGATTGGTAACCGCCTCAGCCATTGGTTTGAGGATATCCTGAAATAGACAGTATCGTGGCCTAATAGGCGTGAAGTCGGAGCCGGGCGTGAGCCAATGCGGTCGGGAGGCGGGGCTCCGTTATATGTAGAAAGAGCCCGGGGGATTGTCACGGCAATCTCCGCGTCTGACGTGCGGCGCATCTGCCGGAGTTTTCAGGCGCAGTGTACGCCGCCGCCATGAGCTACACAGGTGAGCCCGGCCGGGTCGGGAGGGACGGGGACGTGCCAAGGCCGCGCCGGGCTCGCCCACGCCTCCCCCGGGGCCTGGATACCGCTCTCTCTGCGGTCGCAAAATGGCGCCGCGGACGGGTCCTCTCAGGTTCGCGCCCCTCAAGCTTCGGCTCCTCGGTGCTCTGTGCTTGCACCCTCGCGCTCTGGCTCTCGGTCGCCCGAGATTTTGGCTTCCGTTGCCTGTGTCCGCGGGCGGCCTCGGGGCCCGAGGTCTTTTCTCCCACCACCTCCGACCCTAGCCTGGCCTTTTCGGACCTCGCAGCCTCTGGTCGCCTTTTCTCGGGCTTCGGCCCTTGCGAGCCGTCAACGGGCTCGGCTGCCGTCGCCATTGCCTCACCGGCCCCCCAACCCCCACGCTCAGTGTCCCTGTAAGATGTCGCAGCTCCTCCTGCCCCTTGCCAGCCCCGGGCTGAGAGAGGCTCCAGCCCCGGAGCGAGGAGTAGATATTTGGGAGGTTTGGACTGAGCAGGGTACCTTGGGTCCTGAGGGCCTGAGCTTGAGCCTTGCCTGGAACGGCTCATTTCCATGGTAATTCATTCACCATCTGTCAGATTCATCGTGTCAGGTGCTGAATAGGCAGCTGGAATACGGCAAGAATTCCTCAAGCAGCTTACAGGGCGGGGCAGACCACCCCAAGCAAACAAATGAATGTGGGCTATATTCTGGGGTGGGCAGTACCCGGGGAGTTGTTCCATTAGGTGCGGTGCTTGGAGACCGCTAAAGAGGTGGCATTTGAGCAGAAGCCATAATAGAGGATGGGAATTAAGAATATCTGGCCCAGGGGCTAGGCTAGGTCCTAGCCGCTAGGAGATGCTTGGCCCCTTAGATGTTCTGCCAGGGAGGCCAGTGGGCCTTGAGCAAAAGGGAGGGTGGGTGCTGAGATCAGAGGGGGGCTGTGATGCGCTGGCACGGCAATTGTACATCATCTGTGGATGAACTGGACAGCTGGTGTGTCCTGGTGGTAACCACCGAGGCTGCTCAACCAGGAGCCACGGGCTAGGCTTCCCCCTTGGAGGGGAGTATTAGGCTGAGCATGTGTGGTTGCCTGGTAACCAGCATTCTGCTGTGGAATGTTGGGGGCTCAGAATGGAACCTGAGCCTCTGGGGCTCCTTTGTAGGCTGCTTTATGTTGGCCTGGCAAGGAGGTGTTGCCGGGCCTCCCTCCTCTGGCACCCAGGTCGGGAGCTTGGCAAGAACCCCGAGCAGCCATCCCTTGGCCCAGCGGTTCTCATCCAGGGCCGATTCTACCGCCCAGGGGACATTTGGCAGCATCGGGGTATGTTTTTGGTTGTCATGTCTGGTGGGGGGGTGCCCCTGTCATCCGGTGTGTAGAGACCAGGAGT